TAAAACATGTCTAACCTATAAATAAACATTGCTACTGTCGCTGGGCACACGACCAACTACAAGTGATCACTATGAACTGGCGTATATCGTGCTTACCACAGATTAATTGGTCGAGGGCGCTTTCCCTCTGACGGCGTCTGGTCAGGGCGCTCCCACGGCCCACAATAATGCCTCCGGGCGGCTTAATATTCACTAATTATCGTCCACGACTTGAGACCACACGTCCCCAGCTCGATTCCACAGCTGGCACGTCTGCACACTTCTCTTCTCTTAGAGATATATCACTAGGGGTTCCCTTCTGACGGGAGCTCAACGGAGCGCGGCTTCCCCCTGCGATGTCTGGCACTCAAGTGAGGTCAAGGTCCTCCAGAAGCGAGCCTCACGCCTCCAGCAAAATGTCCACATCTCCTAGCCCGTCATTTATCTATTTTCTTCCGCATTGCCCATAATCTCAAACTGTTACACATATCCAACCAACTATTTTACATATGGATTATTACCTCAATTTTTGCTAGACCTTCTAATCAGGTCAGGCTTGCTGAATAACTCTCAAGAAGGGAGACTCGTTTCTCCTGCAGGCTGAGATCATAACACCACCCCCATGACTACATCCGTGACAACCCCTGTGACAACACCAGTGTCACACACTCTGCGCATAACACCGCAGCCCGTGACTCCCGTGATCCGGGGCAGGCGTGTAGGGATACGACCCATGTCACGACCTAGATCACCCGTGACACAGACGTGGTGCTACAGGACACCACCTGTGGCATAATTGGTGGTGACAACCCCCGTGACCAGCACTGTGACCACACCCGTGACTACCCCCGTGTCCACACCCGTGACAACCCCCGTGACTACCCCTGTGACAACACCAGTGTCACACACTCTGCGCATAACACCGTAGCCCGTGACTCCCGTGATCCGGGGCAGGCGTGTCGGGATACGACCCAGGTCACGACCCAGGTCACCTGTGACACAGACGTGGTGCTACAGGACACCACCTGAGGCATAATTGGTGGTGACCACCCCCGTGACTACATCCGTGACCACCCCCGTGACAACCCCTGTGACAACACCAGTGTCACACACTCAGCGCATATCACCGCAGCCCGTGACTCCCATGATCCGGGGCAGGCGTGTCGGGATACGACCCAGGTCACGGCCCAGGTCACCTGTGACACAGACGTGGTGCTACAGGACACCACCTGAGGCATAATTGGTGGAGACCACCCCCGTGACTACATCCGTGACAACCCCTGTGACAACACCAGTGTCACACACTCTGCGCATAACACCGCAGCCCGTGACTCCCATGATCTGGGGCAGGCGTGTCGGGATACAACCCAGGTCACGGCCTAGGTCACGGCCCAGGTCACCTGTGACACAGACGTGGTGCTACAGGACACCACCTGTGGCATAATTGGTGGTGACCACCCCCGTGACTACATCCGTGACAACCCCCGTGACTACCCCTGTGACAACACCAGTGTCACACACTCTGCGCATTACACCGCAGCCCGTGACTCCCGTGATCCGGGGCAGGCGTGTCGGTATACGACCCAGGTCACGACCCAGGTCACCCGTGACACAGACGTGGTGCTACAGGACTCCACCTGTGGCATAATTGGTGGTGACTACACCCGTGACTACATCCGTGACCACATCCGTGACTATCCCATCCGTGACCACCCCTGTGACAACACCAGTGTCACACACTCTGCGCATAACACCGCAGCCCGTGACTCCCGTGACCCGGGGCAGGCGGGGCAGGTCACGACCTCAGTGAACTACAGTTCGTGAACTGAGGAATAACCTGGTGTAGGAACACCAGATTCCTACCTTAACACTTTGCCGTGGGGGCTAACACTTTGCCGTGGAGGTGACTAACACGATCTTGGTTTTGCGGGCCTCTCGCTCGCTAGGTTATGCAGGCCTCTCGCTCGCTCCGTTTTGCGGGCCTCTCGCTCGCTCGTTTTTGCTGGCCTCTCGCTTGCTCTGTTTTGCGGGACTCTCGCTCGCTCTGTTTTGCGGGCCACTCGCTCGCTAAGTTTTGCGGGCCTCTCGCTCGCTCTGTTTTGCGGGACTCTCGCTCGCTCTGTTTTGCGGGCCTCTCGCTCGCTCTGTTTTGCGGGCCTCTCGCTCGCTTGATTTTGCGGGCCTCTCGCTCGCTCGGTTTTGCGGGCCTCTCGCTCGCTAAGTTTTGCGGTCCTCTCGCTCGCTCGGTTTTGCCGGCCTCTCGCTCGCTCGGTTTTGCGGGTCTCTCGCTCGCTAAGTTTTACGGGCCTCTCGCTCGCTCGGTTTTGCGGGCCTCTCGCTCGCTAAGTTTTGAAGGCCTCTTGCTTGCTCTGTTTTGCGGGACTCTCGCTCGCTCTGTTTTCCGGGCCTCTCGCTCGCTCGGTTTTGCGTTCCTCTCGCTCGCTCTGTTTTCCGGGCCTCTCGCTCGCTCTGTTTTGCGTTCCTCTCGCTCGCTCTGTTTTGCGGGCCTCTCGCTCGCTCTGTTTTGCGGGCCTCTCGCTCGCTCTGTTTTGCGGGCCTCTCGCTCGCTCTGTTTTGCGGGCCTCTCGCTTGCTCGGTTTTGCGGGCCTCTCGCTCGCTAGGTTTTGCGGGCATCTCGCTCGCTAGGTTTTGCGGGCCTCTCGCTCGCTAGGTTTTTGCGGGCCTCTCGCTCGCTAGGTTTTGCGGGCATCTCGCTCGCTAGGTTTTGCGGGCCTCTCGCTCGCTAGGTTTTTGCGGGCCTCTCGCTCGCTAGGTTTTGCGGGCCTCTTGCTTGCTAGGTTTTGCAGGGATCTCGCTCGCTCGGATTTGCGGGCCTCTCGCTCACGCGGTTTTGAGGGCATACTGTTTGCGTGTTGTTAGTCACCCCCACGGCAAAGTGTTAGTCCCCCCATGGCAAGTTACGTGTTACTCCCCCAATGGCAAAGTGTTTGTCCCCCCTCTGCAAAGTGTTAGTCCCCCCCAACGGCAAAGTGTTAGTCCCCCCCAACGGCAAAGTGTTTGTCCCCCCACGGCAAAGTGTTTGTCCTCCCCTTCTAACGGCAAAGTGTTGGGAGCGAGTGGCCAAGAGTATTCATCTAATTGTGCTTATGGGGGTTTGGCTCTTTCGGCTCCCTTCCCATCTGTCATATATCAAATTATTTTTCTTTTGCCACAAAACACACACACACACACACACACACACACACACACACACACACACACACACACACACACACACACACACACACACACACACACACACACACACACACACACATACACACACACACACACACACACACACACACACACACACACACACACACACACACACACACACACACAGGTGTAGGTAGCTCCACCACTACTATCACCAGGTAGCTCCACCACTACCATCACCAGGTAGCTCCACCACTACCATCACCAGGTAGCTACACCACTACCATCACCAGGTAGCTACACCACTACCATCACCAGGTAGCAACACCACTACCATCACCAGGTAGCTCCACCACTACCATCACCAGGTAGCTACAACACTACCATCACCAGGTAGCTACAACACTACCATCACCAGGTAGCAACACCACTACAATCACCACGTAGCTACACCACTTTAGTCACCAGGTAGGTACATCACTACCATCACCAGGTAGCTACAACACTACCATCACCAGGTAGCTACACCACTACAATCACCAGGTAGCTACACCACTTCAATCATCAGGTAGCTCCACCACTACAATCACCTGGTATCTACACCACTACCATCACCAGGTAGCTACACCACTACCATCACCAGGTAGCTACCCGACTACAATCACCAGGTAGCTGCTCCACTACAATCACCAGGTAGCTACACCACTACCATCACTAGGTAGCTACACCACTACCCTCACCAGGTAGCTACACCACTACCATCACCATGTAGCTACACCACTACCATCACCAGGTAGCTACACCACTACAATCACCACATAGCAACACCACTACCATCACCAGGTAGCTACCCGACTACAATCACCAGGTAGCGGCTCCACTACAATCACCAGGTAGCTACACCACTACCATCACTAGGTAGCTACACCACTACCATCACCAGGTAGCTACACCACTACCATCACCAGGTAGCTCCACCACTACCATCACAAGGTAGCTACACCACTACCATCAACAGGTAGCTACATCACTACCATCACCAGGTAACTACACCACTACCATCACCAGGTAGCTACACCACTACCATCACCAGGTAGCTCCACTACTACAATCACCAGGTAGCTTCACCACTACCATCACCAGGTAGCTTCACCACTACCATCACCAGGTAGCTTCACCACTACCATCACCAGGTAGCTACACCACTACCATCACCAGGTAGCTCCACCACTACAATCACCAGGTAGCTCCACCACTACAATCACCACGTAGCTACACCACTACAATCACCAGGTAGCTCCACCACTACAATCACCACGTAGCTACACCACTACAATCACCACGTAGCTCCACCACTACAATCACCAGGTAGCTCCACCACTACAATCACCAGGTAGCTCCACCACTACAATCACCACGTAGCTACACCACTACAATCACCAGGTAGCTACTCCACTACAATCACCTGGTATCTGCCAGGTGCGTGTCGTATTTCTGCATGTTTTAACACATCTCATTTCCAAACATTAGCGATGAACAATACAGCAACAAATTAATAATATTCTGTAAAAAACAAAATACTTTTCAGAAATAATAAAACATAAATAATGAGTACTGATAGAATCAACTCCTCCATGATGATGGTGGTGGCGGTGGTGTGTCGTGTGTTGTGGTACGTCTGGGGTGTGGTCCAGGACCACCTCCGTCTGCGCCTCCTCTAGCGGCAGTACGACTCCAGCTGGCGGGGACTGTTGAGTAACGTCCCCCTCTTGAAGGTGATCGTCCCTCCACGCCCCGGGACCTTCACGACCCCCTGGACCTGCTGGACCATGTCCAGTTGCTTCGTGACGGGCGTCCTCGAGGTGGCCGTCTGGTGGGCCTTCATCAGGACCCTTAGTATCCTTCTCGACCTGGACCCAGTTGAGTCCTAAGTGAAGGAGACGGAGTCGACGGGGCCACCTCCAGTGACCCCACCCGTGACCACCCCCGTGACAACACCAGTGTCACACACTCTGCGCATAACACCACAGCCCGTGACTCCCGGAATCCGGGGCAGGCGTGTCGGGATACGACCCAGGTCACGACCCAGGTCACCTGTGACACAGACGTGGTGCTACCGGACACCACCTGAGGCATAATTGGTGTTGACCACCCCTGTGACTACATCCGTTACAACCCCTGTGACTACATCCGTGACAACCCCTGTGACAACAGCAGCGACCACCCCCGTGACAACCCCTGTGACAACACCAGTGTCACACACTCTGCGCATAACACCGCAGCCCGTGACTCCCGTGATCCGGGGCAGGCGTGTAGGGATACGACCCAGGTCACGACCTAGATCACCCGTGACACAGACGTGGTGCTACAGGACACCACCTGTGGCATAATTGGTGGTGACAACCCCCGTGACCAGCACTGTGACCACACCCGTGACTACCCCTGTGACAACACCAGTGTCACACACTCTGCGCATAACACCGTAGCCCGTGACTACCCCTGTGACAACACCAGTGTCACACACTCTGCGCATAACACCGTAGCCCGTGACTCCCGTGATCCGGGGCAGGCGTGTCGGGATACGACCCAGGTCACGACCCAGGTCACCTGTGACACAGACGTGGTGCTACAGGACACCACCTGTGGCATAATTGGTGGTGACCACCCCCGTGACTACATCCGTGACAACCCCCGTGACTACCCCTGTGACAACACCAGTGTCACACACTCTGCGCATTACACCACAGCCCGTGACTCCCGTGATCCGGGGCAGGCGTGTCGGTATACGACCCAGGTCACGACCCAGGTCACCCGTGACACAGACGTGGTGCTACAGGACTCCACCTGTGGCATAATTGGTGGTGACTACACCCGTGACTACATCCGTGACCACATCCGTGACTATCCCATCCGTGACCACCCCTGTGACAACACCAGTGTCACACACTCTGCGCATAACACCGCAGCCCGTGACTCCCATGATCCGGGGCAGGCGTGTCGGTATACGACCCAGGTCACGACCCAGGTCACCCGTGACACAGACGTGGTGCTACAGGACACCACCTGTGGCATAATTGGTGATGACTACACCTGTGACTACATCCGTGACCACATCCGTGACTACCCCAGTGACCACCCCTGTGACCACCCCTGTGACAACACCCGTGACAACACCAGTGTCACACACTCTGCGCATAACACCGCAGCCCGTGACTCCCGTGACCCTGGGCAGGCAGGGCAGGTCATGACCTCAGTGAACTACAGTTCGTGAACTGAGGAATAACCTGGTGTAGGAACACCAGATTCCTACCTTAACACTTTGCCGTGGGGGCTAACACTTTGCCGTGGAGGTGACTAACACGACCTTGGTTTTGCGGGCCTCTCGCTCGCTAGGTTTTTGCGGGCCTCTCGCTCGCTAGGTTTTGCGGGCCTCTCGCTCACGCGGTTTTGAGGGCATACTGTTTGCGTGTTGTTAGTCACCCCCACGGCAAAGTGTTAGTCCCCCCATGGCAAGTTACGTGTTACTCCCCCAATGGCAAAGTGTTTGTCCCCCCTCTGCAAAGTGTTAGTCCCCCCCAACGGCAAAGTGTTAGTCCCCCCCAACGGCAAAGTGTTTGTCCCCCCACGGCAAAGTGTTTGTCCCCCCACGGCAAAGTGTTTGTCCTCCCACAGCAAAGTGTTATTTCCCCCCCCCCCCCAACGGCAAAGTGTTATTTCCCCCCCCCTAACGGCAAAGTGTTATTTCCCCCCCCCCCCAACGGCAAAGTGTTAGGAGCGAGTGGCCAAGAGTATTCATCTAATTGTGCTTATGGGGGTTTGGCTCTTTCGGCTCCCTTCCCATCTGTCATATATCAAATTATTTTTTTTTTGCCACAAAACACACACACACACACACACACACACACACACACACACACACACGCACGCACGCACGCACGCACGCACGCACGCACGCACGCACGCACACACACACACACACACACACACACACACACACACACACACACACACACACACACACACACACATTGGGGGACTTGTCTTGTGACCATCGTGTTGGGTGGACGTGGGTTGGGAGCTCCTGGTTCACTAGTGGAGTGGGAGGGGTAATCAGGCAACTTCGAAGTGAAAAAGTGTGTACAAGTGAATGAAAAAACCTTGAGTTTTGGCCAGAGCCATAAGGTAGTGAAGAAAAACAGTTTAAATAGCGTAATTCAAAATAGTTGAGGAAGTATTGTGGCAGTGTGGAGCAGACCTCACCGACCTCTGACCGCGTGACCTCACCCCGGCAGCAACCTTCTACCACCACGTGGGACGACGCTTGGAGATTCACTCACCTATTGTGTTAGCAGGACGGTAAGATACTTGGAACCCCAGTGGGTAAGGTTGCATTATAGCAATGACTAGGTCAGGAAGGGTGTCTAGGTCCAACAGTATTATGATTGAGGAAGAAGATAGGTTTGTGGAGAAGATGATTGGGAAATTTGTAGAGAAGAGGGATGTTTGGATAGGTGATCTAATCCAGGGGATTAAAAGTGAAGTCTTTAATAAGATACAGGGCGAGGTTCAAAGACTCAAACAAGAGTTTATGGATTATATTCAAGAGGAAATCAGGAAGAGCAGGGTAGAATGGCAAGGAGAAATATCTAGGCTTACTAATGAATTTGGCAGGAATAAGGGAAGCTTGGCAGGGGAAGGGGGAGTAGTAGTAGGTGGAGTAGCGGGTGTAGGAGGGGTGGGGGTCAGCCAGGGAGAGGGCCACCAGCATGACCCTGAACTGAGAAAGACGACAATCATAATCCATGGATTACTTGAAGCCAGGGCACCATCGAGGCAGGAAAGGATGGAGATTGAGGATTTGGAACTACAGGGGATCTTGAGAGACATGAGAGCCCAGATGGCAGGGAATGAGGTGCAAGTCCACCGACGCATTGGACCATACAACTGTAACAGGAAACGACCTGTCCTGGTACAGTTCACTAACGAAGAGGCAGTGGATTACATACTGCATCACAAACACCTACTCAGAGGTAGCGAAAATTACTACAACGTATTTATTGACAAATTCATGACGAAGGAGGAACAGATTGCCCACAGAGCAAGCAAACAACAGTACGACTCTTCCCATTTGAGCGCAGCTACACACCCCAGTGCTAAACCACCCCATGCTAACCAGCTCACACGTGCTTCTCAGGTCACCCCTTCCCCAAATCAGCCGCCCCTGCTTATCTCCCCAGCACATCCCTTGACCCCTCTGACCCCACTGGAGTCAAATTCATCCCACATTCCAAGGACCCCCTCATCACCTCAGCCCCCAAAACCCGTCCAGCCCTCATCCCCTCAACCCCCAAAACCCACCCAGCTCTCATCCCCTCAACCCCCAAAACCCATCCAGACCTCATCCCCTCAACCCCAAGAACCCACCCAGACCTCATCCCCTCAACACCCAAAGCCTACCCAGCCCTCACCCCTCCTCATCCCCTCTCCTTCCATGTGACCCCCCACCCTTGCGAGGGAGGTGGGAGGTCCCCCCCACCCCCTCTATCCTTCCCCCTCCCAACCTCTCAACCTCTATCTGTCTCCCAACCTTACGCTATCTCCCAATCCCTCTATGCCCTCCCTAATCTTCAGACCCAGTATGCCCTTCCTACTCCAGACCTACCTACCCAGGCCCTACCCCAGACCCTCCTACCTACCTTCCTAGAAGCCCAGCCCCCAGTAGCCCCCCAAGCACTCTTTCTGAACACCCCCCTCCTGAACTCTTTCACCCCCCATACACCCCCCGGACCCCCCCAGACACCCCCCGGATCCCCCCGGACATCCCCCGGACCCTCCCCGCCCCCAGTCATCCCCCAGACACCCCCCAGATCCCCCAGATCCCCTCTACCCCCAGTCACCCCCCAGACATCCCCCAGATCCCCCCAGACCCCCAGAGAAAGGGAGAACTCTGGTACAAGAGTTTCCATGAAGAATCTCAAGGTTTGGTACACCAATGCTGATGGGGTATCTAATAAAGCAGAAGAGATAAAAGAAAGAGTGAGTGAAGCAGATCCTGACATAGTTGCAATTGTGGAAACTAAAATTAATGACATGATCTCAGATGCAATCTTTCCTGAAGGGTACCAGGTGATACGAAAAGAGAGGACACAGAGACAGGGAGGGGGAGTAGCACTCCTAATAAAGCGGAAATGGAAGTTTGAAGACCTGGGAAATCGAGTTACCAATGAGTGCACAAGCTTCATACATGGAACTCTGACAGTAGATGGGAGGAAGATTGTGATCCTGGTAATCTACAATCCCCCACCAAACAGTAGAAGACCCAGGCAGGAGTATGATGACAACAACAAAGCATGTATAGATGAACTGCAGAAGGCAGCAACACTAGCCCACAGAATGAGAGCGAAGCTGCTGATCATGGGGGACCTAAATCATGGAGAGATAAATTGGGAATCAAGGAATCCCCATGGAGGGGACGAAACGTGGGGAGCAAAATTAGTAGATGTTATAGACAGGAATTTCCTGACACAACATGTGAAGGAAGACACAAGGGAAAGAGGAGGAGATGCACCGAGCCTATTAGACCTGATTTTCACCCAGAACGTAGAAGATATCGAGAATTTAGAGCATGAAATACCTCTAGGGGCCAGTGACCATTGTGTCCTAGTCTTTGACTACATGATGGAATTCAAACTTATGACCATGGGACAAGAGATCTGGGAAAGGAGAGCTGACTACAGGAAAGGGGACTATATGAGGATAAGGGACTATCTGGGTGAAGTGCAGTGGGAGGAAGAAATTAGAGGAAAAACAGTCCAAGATATGATGGACCTAGTCATACAGAAATGCCAGGAGGCCGAAGAGAGATTTATACCAACGGTAAAGGGAAAAAATAAGAAGGAATATAATAACCCATGGTTTAATAGACAGTGTCAGGAAGCAAAAATGGCCAGCAGACGGGAGTGGAGGAAGTACAGAAGACAAAGAACAGAGGACAACAGAAGCAGATACAACAGAG